GAGGTCACCCCGCAGCCTTCTTTTCTCCAGGCTGAACAAGCCCAGCTCCCTCGGCCTGTCTTCATAGGGGAAGTGCTCCAGTCCCGTGATCATCTTTGTGGCTCTCCTCTGGACCCTCTCCAAAATCCAACTGCAGAAGAATCCAACTGCAAAGCCAAAGCCATTAAGGAATGCAAGATGAACTTGCATCTCAGAGGGAAGAAAGGGATTGGATGAAGAAGGGCAGCAGCAATGAGATCCTTGGCATCAGCCTCCAGCTATTAAGTTGCAAAGGATGTTGTATTTGCATGGCAGTGGAAGTCTTCCAGGGCCCCTTATTGAAGGCAAGTGAGTGAGCCTGGACTGTGGCAGGACTGGAGTGTCCTTTTTCCCAGAGCTGCCTGCCCCAGAGCTTACACCACTTACAAAGCTGGTGGTTTTGCACTGTGGGTACCACAGGAATTTAACAGTGCTTTGTTTTTATTTATAAAGTTGATATTCCCAGCACCAAAATCACTGCTGCTTGGTGGCAAGCATAAGCCAAAGGCACTACCTAAAACATCACTCTGCTTTTTGTGAAAGATAAATAGCTGTGTATGCTTGAAATAGTTTAATTTTACAGCCCTTCAGATGGTGACTCTGTTCTATGAAAGCTTTTCACCTTTTCCTGCTTTTAATACATAGTGAGGTCAGTGGTCAGTACATTCAAGTGCTCATACAAGGACTACAGAGAAAAATACAAGAGAAATCAGGATGATGAAGAATTCAGATATGTGTGTGTGGATATAAAAATAAAAATGCATGAATAGTTTGAGGTCAATTTAAATGCACACTAGTCTTCTGAAATTTGAGTTGCCTTCATAAGGGTTCTCAAAAAGAAGCTTTTATTTCAACCATAGGTAAAAGCAACAGGAGCTTTGGATGTAATGCATGAGAAGCAGTGGTTTGTAATAGCTTCCCAGCATCACTACATCTGGTGCCTGGATACCAGTAGCATGGGTTTTGCAGTAAAAGTGTACTCAACTTCATAGTTTTTGTTCTCTGGATTACTTCTTATGAATTCATCAAACTTTTAAAATAAATCCCTTGAAAATTCACAGTGTGTTCTTCCCAAAAGTTGTCTCAGACTTGTTTCATCATTGGTCTGTTCTGTTGGTGTTTCATTGGGTTGTATCCTTGGCTATTGCCCTGTTTGTGTGAGGTGTTATTTGGCTTTTTCATAATGGCAGGGCTTTTATCCCAGTTAAAATTTTCCATTCTGAGTTCCTTGTTCAATAGGGTTTGCGTCTTGGCTAAAAACTAATGTGGTTTTAGTTGAAAGTTGCTCAATTTCAGGAAGAGATTTGTCATATCTTTAACTATTACTTGAAACCCACTAATGTGCTAGGGTTCATTCCATTGTACAATGTTGTTGAGATGATGATGATGCAGAGCAGAGTCAGATTCCTTCTCTCACGTCTTATGATGATTAGTTAATCTTTTTAGGACCTAATTTAAAAAGCATTTATGTCTTTTTTTCAATGCTTTTTCTTTCTGAAGCTCTCAATTCTGCCTCATATTCCTCAAATCTGCCAGAAGTTTCAAGTAGACTAGTTCTGATCCTCTCAAGTTTAGAGAGAGCAGGCATTTAAGACTGAAGCTGCAGAGATAGTGATGAAAACTTAATATGAAGCATCATCCCACTTCTGCACCAGAAATACCAGCAACTGACTTGGCCAAGCCATAATTTCAGGTATCAGATGCCATTTTGTTTGCACTGTGCTGTGAGAAGCACGTTCACTTGTAGCAGGAGCTGAGCTAATAGCAGAGGGAACTGTGCAAGGTACGAAGATACTGTGACAGCCCAATATATATATGTATAAGAGAGAAGATCTTCCAGGGTGAAGCTCCTCACGTAAGCATTTGCAGTGTGTGTTGCAGCAGAGAGTTGGGCAGGTCAGTATTTCTGTTCTTAACGAGGAGCTGCGTTTTTCTGTATGTTATTGCCACAGCAAATGATATAATTATGCCTTATATAATAACAATGCTTCTGAGGAACTGTTTCTCTCCCAGAACTCTTAATTAACTTTTTAAGTAACTTTTGAAAAATAACTAAAATTTCCCAGAATATTGTGAATCATTCCAGCCTTGTGAGATTTAACTTAGATATAGGATAACTGCTGTAATACTCTCTAGATGATGTTAAGTGCAGGGGAAGCTGATGCTTTTCTTTCCAGGAGACAAGGAAAGGGCCCAGGACTGCTTCCTTTTAAACAGTAGGTGTGGGAACAATAGCCTTCAAACAATAGGTTATTTACTCATCCCTCTGGCTTTCAAGTCTGTAAACTTCAGTTCTCCAGACTTTGAAGCCCATGTGAGAAACCTTCTGTTCTTTCATTTAATCCTATTGCAAAATTTGAGACAGTGCTATTTTTAACTTGAAATGATTTTTTTTTTTTAACAGGTGCAGATTCACTCTACAGAAGTAGTTTCAGCCTCAGTGATGAAAAACTTAACTCTCCAACTGCATCTACTCCAAGCTTGCCATCTCCATCAGTAACTCCTTGTAAAGGTAAACTTAAATCCTCAATGTTTCTTCTGAATTTTCAACTATATAGGTTTCTTCCTTTGGGCAAAGATATACATTTATGCAGTAACTCAGTTTTGCTTTCATTCAAAAATAAGGATTACTGATAAGCACACAAGTGCATGTATTATTGCTGTTTATGGTCAACACAGTGTCATAAGGCATCCATGCTTCTTCACAGGTCATTCAGTAGCTTTTGGGTTTGAATTGCCCAGCTACAGAAGGTTCTTCGGTTAGTCAGATCTGTGCTGCTGCTTACAGAATACTCACTTTAGAATTAACAAGTCTAACTTAAGCAACTAAGTAGCCTTAATGTCCCATCTGTTCACAGAAATGCTTAGCTGTGGGGCTGCAGTGTGTGACTGGTTGCAAGTAACAAATAAAATGTTCTTTTACTAATTACCATGATGCTAGGCAGAAATATGTCATAGTTAATAAGAAGTAGGGAATTAAGTGTTTCAGTTAAACTGGTACTACTCAGTTAATACTTAGTCAGGAGTTGCACATGAGATCAAGACCTTCTTCCTGATGAAAAGGTAGAAATAGTTGGGACCACCTTGGAATAGACCATGGAAGTGAGATAAGGAAGCTACTTGAAATAAAACTAGGTTGAATGGAAACAGTGATGTTCTCAGCAGTGGAAATTTCAGTAAATGCTTGGGTTTAAACTGAACGTGTGTGGATCTTGATCAGAGGATCTAACATCTAGCAAACCACAGATACTGACATGAAATTTGGATTTGGGCAGGACTAGGAGCTAATTGAGTAGGGTAAGGACATGAATGCAGTATCTGAATGCAGTAATAAAAATTCCACGTTAGTAAGGTTGACCTTGCTATTCCAAGTCAAGTTGACCTACAGCTTTTTTTCCCCACTTCTTCAGTGTCTTCTTTTAAAGGAAGCTAAGCAGGCTTGACTTGCCTTTGTCAAAATGATTAAAAACTTTAGTTTTTAGTTGTTTATCTTCTTCTCTAAGAATGCATTTGGACATTGCAGCAACCATCAACTTCTCCAAAAGCAATCCAGAGCAGATTTGATACCACTAAAAATGATTTGGAGGATTGTGTGGTTCCAGTGGTTTCTTTTGTCACATCTTAATATTGACTATCCCTTCCTAATTTGCAGCAAAACTTGGAGACACAAAAGAACTGGAAGAATTCATAGCTGATCTTGACAGGACACTAGCAAGTAAGTAGGTTTTTAGGAGACTGCTTATTGCTTTGTCACTGATTACAGTCATGGGGTGATGAAAGCCAGCGTATTGGTGGAAGTTGTGTATTCCAGTTGTTCTACTGAGTTCTTCATTGATTTGAGAGGAGTGTGGGTGAACAAAATAAAGAAGCCAACCCAGTACCGTGTTCCCCAGCTTGTATTCTGCCTATTCTTTTTCTTCCTGTGCTGTTTGTGGTGTGATACTGGGTAATTTTTTTTCCCCATGGACTAGAGTGTAGATCCCAAAACAACAAAACATAGGACTAGACCAACAGAGCCACATGTTCAAAAGCTGTAAGCTGGGCTTTTTGTATTCATGGAGGTATTTTCCCTTCCCCATAATTCTTGAAGCCACAACCATCTGTCTTGGTTTTAACTCAAGAGAGCTGTCCTTACAAGCTTCCCACTTCCCTATCTCAGAAGTGAAACCAGGATTAAGATATTTCTAGTTTCCTGATTATTTATTTATTTATTTTGTCTTATATGTATGCTTATATGTAACTGTCCTTACCACTTAAACTTAATTGACAGATTGGTCTTCTGAGAAACTTCTGAGTTTGCAGGTTTGGGGATTTTTGTTCTCTATAAATGTCCAAATTGTGACTTAGCTGTATCTTGCACAGCTGTGTTGCAGCTAACTGTGAAGGGGCTGGTTACAGTACACTGACTTAACTGCCTCCTTGCAAAGCACATCTAAAGTGAGGCCAGGAATTGCTACTTGCTATGCTAATTCTTATCAACAAAGAAACCTTTAGCTATCTCAGCAGATCCTCATTTATAGGGTCACTAGTTTTGCAGCGATGTGCCATCTTTTTCATACACTGAAGTTATAGGAAAGTCCAATTTCCATCTGATATTTCACTTTTTTTCTGAGGAGTCACTATTTACATGCTTTGAGGTTACACAGACTTTTGTAGCTGCTTTTTGAAGCGTAATGCAACTGTTAGAATAATAATAGACTTGAGTTCTTATGCTAACCTTTTGGCTTTCATAATGCTTTTTAAAAAAATATTTAAAAAAAATAGTTGTGCCTGTCAGGCAGCTAGCAATCTTACTAAATACAGGCTTTATAGTTGCTCTTGTTTTGTGTTTCCAGGTATGTGAAATGAATCTTTGGCACTGTTTGCCTGTGGATGTCATCTGAAGGATAAGTGACATCAGTCGTGGAAAACTGCTGCCTTTGTCTGATAACTTTGTTACCCAATATATTCACCTTGTGAACACAACCTATGTAAACTCCTACAAGTTTTAACTGGCAAACATCAGTGTTGTTACTTTGCAGCAGCTGGAATCAGATAACTTAAATTTTCCAGCTATATTTTACTTTAAAATATAGCTTGAATTTTAATTTAAAGTTGCTTTTATGAAAATATATTTGTAATTTTATATAGTTGAGAACTTTTAATGCTTTTTTCCATTATAATATATTTTTATACAAATAAACCCTGAACTGAAATCCAGATCTCTGAAACTTTCGTATGAACATATGAGCTGTACAAAATATGCACTTACTGAAAACATGGAGCTTGAAAATATCTGATAAGACTGTATTTTTTATTAGGCACAATGTATTACACTGTCTTCATACAGAACTTCATATTGTTCCTATCAAATAGCTTGAGTAAGTATTTTTTACTGTGTAAAATTTTAGTACAGTCAGGAAAATAAAGTTAGTTTTTATTTATATTAAAGGTAATCTGAAATAACATTGACATAGTAAAGATTTGAACAATAACACCAATTTCGAACCCTGTCTAAAAGCTGTCTTTAAAGTTACATGTCATTCTCTATTAAGTACTAATTAGGAGGTTAGGAATTTAGGTGTAGGAGTTTAAATAGATACTGCAGCATCAAGAAAATGCTCAAAATGCTTTCCAGAGTCAGAAAAACGTGAACACTTGTCCAAAATAGTCTCCATCCCTTTAAAAGGACTGCCTGACCATTGCTGTCTTACTGCAAGAGTGGAAGGTGAAGCTGTATTTTTTTGTTTTGTATAAGGAACCTGATTCTTTCCATATGCATTAAGCACTGAAGATAATGTGTGAGCTCTCCTTCAGCTGCTACAGGCATTACACTCAGCTCTGCTGTCCAAGCTGCTCATGTGATTGCCCTCTAATCCATTCAGGCAAAGTGAGCTAGACTTGTTTAACCTGCAGGTCTTATTTTGATTGTAGCAGGCTAGTGAACAGTCACAGAAATGGTTCAAGTCTTGTGCCCCTTGGAGCTGTTATCTTTAAAAATGTGGCCATGGCTGGAAAAGGAGGTGTCTGCACCAATGGCACAGTGACCAGCCAGTTGCTTAGGGGCTTAGTGGGTGGATTTGGACCTGTCGTCTGCAACCTGGGGAGAGCATAATCTGTGTTCTTTGATAATGGAAGCAGCACGATCAAATCCATCCCTCTGCTTTGGATTTTCAAACAAATAATCAAGAACTTGGATTGTGTTAAGTGTAATGTGTTTGGATTTTTTTTTTCTGGTTTTCTTCACAGATAAGAAAATGGAAATGGTGTCCATGCCAATAAGTCTGAAACACTCTTAAAATGGTTGTTTGAGCTGTTCTTTCTTTCAAACAGAAGGACTGTATGAGATGGTGGAGTATTTTCCTAAACAAGAAACAATTCCTTTGTTTCCTATGGCACTTTTGGTTGATAATTTCTTGCTTGGAATAGAAATGGGGTGAGCTGGCTTTCTGCTAAAGACCAGGACACTTGGAATAGCAGATGATTCTATGGTAAGATTATAAATGCAGAAAGCTGGTGATAAAATTAAAAAGATTAAGTGAGTGAGGTTTTTTGGTGTTCTGGAAGAACTGTAATAATTTGTTACAGGAACATGGGTAGCCCTAGTGATGTGCTTCTGTGTACTCTAGGACCTGATTGAGATTCTTCCACAGTAGAAAACCTTTGAGCAACAAGGTAGGTTTGCTGTGGCAAAGAGCTCTGTGGAAATTCAATGTTACTACTCTCTCCACATAGGATCAAATTTTCCTTTTGACCCCTCTGTGAAACTGAGGGGAATCTGTCTCTTCTTGCTGTTCCTACATATAAAGACATATTTTGCAAAGCCAGGGAGGGGGATTCCCTCATCTGCTGTAGGACTTGCTGTTATGTGGGGTGGGAGGGATGCTGCCTTTCAGAGAAGGGAATGTCTGGGAGAGGACTTGGCTCACGCTTGAGAAATATTGCTAGCATAAGGCATGTTTTTAAAGCTGCTTGAATAGCATCTAAAGTTTTAGCTCTCTTCTTCCACTTTTGCACTGTTTGGTAGGGCGAGACATGTGGCTGTGGATCATGGATATTACTGCTCCAGAGGCAGAGTAACCAAACTCAGTGTTTGAGAGGAGGCCAACTCAAATGATGGCTAGGTGAAGGGGAATGAGCAGCTGTTTGCTTCTTCATCATTCAAGTCAGATAGCTTGAAGTACTGGGCATAAGTGTTTCGCTTTCCCTGTGCTCATTCAGTTGCTGCTTGACACAGCTGAATGCCTGACCTGTGACCATCAAATCACAAAATCATTTTGAGTTGAAAGAGACTTTTAAAGGTCATCTAGTCTAACTCCCCTGCAAGGAAGAGGAACACCTGCAAGCTAGATCAGGTGCTCAGAGCCCTGTTCAGCCTGACCTTGAATGTCTCCATGGACTGGGCAGTCTGCTCCAGTGCTTTACTACTGTTATTGTAAAGCTTTTTTCCTGATAGCCAATTTAAATCTCCCAGTTTAAATCTCTGCTCTTTTAGTTTGAAATCATTTAGCCTTGTCTTATTGCAACAAACCCTGCTAAAGCCTGTCCCCTTCTTCTATAAAGCACCTCTTTTAGATACTGAAAGGCTGCTGTCAGGTCTCCTCCAAGCCTTCTCCAGCCCGAGCAGCCCCCATTCACTCAACCTTTCCTCCTAGGGGAGGTGTTCCATCCCTTGGAGCCTTTCTGTGGTCCTCCTCTGGATGTGCTCCATCCCTTCTGTGTGAGGACTCCACATGTGGACATAGTGCTCCGGGTGAAGTCTCACCAGCACAGAGGAGCAAGATCACCTCCCTTTGACCTGCAGGCCACACTTCCTTGGATTCAGTTCAGGATACAGTTGGTTTTGTGGGCTGTAAGGGCACATTGCTGACTCATGTCCAGTTTGCCATCCACCAGTAGGCTGAATTCCTCTTTGGCAAGGCTGTGCTGTATCCTCATGCATCCCATCTTGTACTGAGAGTGGAGGTTGCCACAACTCTGGTGCAAGAGCTTGCAATTGCAATATTGAACCACATGAGTTGCACCTGGACCCACTACTCAAGCCTGGCTAGGCCTCTGTGAATGGCATCCCATCTGTCAGGCATGTCAACCAGAGCACACAGCTTGGTGTCCACAAACTTGCTAAGGGCACACTCAATCCCTCTGTCGATATCATTGATGAAGATACTAAACATTGCTAGTGCCAGTACTGACTCCTGAAGGGCACAACTGTGTCCATCTGGACATTGAGCCATTGACCACCGATCTCTGGCTACAATTTCACAACCAGTTCCTCATCCATTGAGCAGTTCACCCATCAAGTCCACACCTTTCCAATTTGGAGAGGAGGATGTTGTCAAAGGCCTCAATGAAATCCAGCTAGATGATGTCAATGGCTCTTCTATTGACTAACGACACTGTTGTTCCATCATAGAAGGCTGCTAGGTTGGTCAGGCAGGACTTGTCCTTGGTGAAGCTGTGTTGTAGGCAGTACTTAAAGCTGACTGTTTCCCTTCACAGAGTGATGTCACTCAACTACTGTAAGTATTTGGGGAAGAGCAGTTCTTTGTCCTTGTAGACACCCCATCCTGAAGACATTTCCCATATAAGCAAAGGTTTAAAGCAGGATGTGTTCCTCATTTTGTGTAATGTGAGGTCAGCTGGGGATGGAGTTGGGGATTAAATCACCATCTGCTTGTTTTTTTTTTAATCTTATTTATGCATAAACAAGTGGTGATTTCTGCCTACTTATACAGCAGCTCTGGAGATCATCAGCTACAAAATATGGGAGTGTCTTTGGTGAGGCTGATGGTCTGAATTCCTTTTGGTTTATGCTCTATTTTGAAAGTCTGATTATATCAGAACAAAGGCACTAATATAGATGTCATTTCACTGGAGAATACTTAAATTTAAGTTCATCATCTAATTACGTGTCACTGAACAATGCGCTGCTGAGAAAAGTTCTTGTGATACTCTATCTGTATTGCTGGAGGCTGTACTCTCCTTGTGGGCCAGTCTGACTTTTTAATGCTTGTTTTGACCTTCTTGAACTGTGAGGCAGAATTTGGTCTCAGAACAGTCTCTCAGCCAACACCACTCTTTCTGAATTCAAAGTGAGAGGTTTAGGCTAAGCAGGCATATTGCCCGAGTTTAACACGCATAGGATGAGGCACAACAATTATTTACAAGTATGTTCCTTACCTGCTGCAAATTCAAGGTTAAATGGATTAGTTTAAACCCCTGTTGCTGAGGCTTGAGCTAATGTGTCTTATCTTGAGTTTGCTATTGACTGTGTCCTCAGTGCGGTCACCCAGGCTCAGCTGATATGTAGTAACTCATTAAGCTTGCTAACATACTCATTTTTCTGAGCCTTTTATAGCAGGGAGAGAAGAGGTGAAGGAAGGATTTTTCTCCCCTGTGTGTCTTTAGCTGCTGTTGATGCACCTACAGCCAGGTGAGGCCTTGTGAGGTAGGAAAACAGTAGTGCTGTCAGGGACTGCAAAAGGAAAATCAGGCTCTGCCTTGAAGGGCTCAGCCCCTGCCTGCTTCTACAGCCCACTGCCCCCATGCTTTCTTCTCACCTCCGTTACAGTTACTTGCTTGGTGGCTGTATTTCAGCTTTGTTTTCAGTATCAAACATCTGCAAAGAGACTGCATCTTCCTGGTGGGAAACATCTGTGTCTGCAAATACAGATTTTCCTAGCTCTTATTGCTGCTGCTAGGCTATCAGCCTGCTGCTTCAACCTCTCTGAAGGGCAAAAAACCCACCTCACGTGGGTCTCTGTAGGTGAACTCAGACTCCATCAGCTCACAGGAACTCAGTTCACTGCCCAAGAGTTATTCTTGCCACACTGGAGCCTGTTTTGCATGAGAGTCATTTATGTGAAGGTGCTTAAATATGCTAGACATCACATCTGCTAGAGAGAAACTTCCAACTTTACAGTTCGCTGTGCTTGGAAGCAGAATAATTGTCTTAAAGCCAGTGTGACAACAACAGCTCCTGAGCCAAATCCAGCTCTGCACACCAGTATTGCAAACACTGTATCCTCAGTGGGGAGATCTCCTGTTTTCTGTGTTACTTTAACAGGCATTCTGCATTACTGACTTCACTGCAGCTTGGCTAACAGTCCTAGCTATCTCAATAGCTTCACGTTCATGTAAGAGCATACTGACTGTTGTATCTTAGGGGTTTACAGCTGCAAAACAGATCAGGTCAGGACCCTTTTCTTCTTACAGGCTCTGAGTCACCGGTTAAATGCCCTGGGGATTAAAACAGGGCTCTTGATACAAAGGGCTTATAGAGCTTTGGCTGCTTTTTTTTTTCTTTCACTTCTGTTTTGGAAACTGAAATATCGATCAGTTTGGTACTCCTGACCCAAGTGCTGATGTGAAACACTGAAGTGAGGGTGCTGTCCTTGGCTCCTTCCATAGCCTTTACAAGGAGAGGGAGTCCCCAGATGTCCCCATGCTACAGTGTGTATTGTAAAGACACCAGGTAAGGAAGCGTTTCATAGCAAGTGGCTGTTTGAACTGCAGATGATTTCTGGGTTTATAATCAATGACTTCATGGACCAAATGGATACTACTGAAAGCTGTAGTAAAAGTTTCCATTGACCCCAGTGGGCTGGGATTCAACTGTGCC